GTCCATGTAGAGTTATATTCTGTACTGAGTCCATTGTGACATTAAAGTTAATGACACTAGTTCCAATGAAGTAGAAGATGGTGTTATTGTATTGAGACATATTCCCAGCATACACTGATAAAGGATTACAAGGTGACTGAGTAACTGAACTGCAGTCATCAGACACATAATACTGACCAGAGGAGATACTGCAGGAGCTACTGAAGAATAAGAGAATAACCACTGACAGGAGAGACATAGCTACTACTACATTCATGCACTCAGTGTGAGATCAGTGAGATTCAGCTAAACCTATGGACGTGTGGGAGATTATTGTTTATAAAAGTAATATAATTATTAAATGTCATTCACTACAGTATCTCACAATTATGCTATAAAGAATCGAAGATTTTGAATTCTCTCGTAGCATGTAAGAATATGTTAGGATAATTTGCCAATTTTTGAGCAATTTTTAAAATTCAATTTTGACCTGAATCAGCTTTTTAAAGTAAGTGCATGATTATGTATCGTAGAATTCTTTCCTTGCCATTTTTATGAAACACCCTACTCTAAAGCCACTATAGTACTGGTAGTTATTACAACAACCAGTTAGTGGAAATACAATTACAACAACCAGTTAGTGGAAATACAATTAGAACCACTACTATACTACTACTAGTAATAATAATAACTGGTAACACAATAGTCAGGCTTCTGGGGTAAAAGTAAAACTATCCTCCTCCACTTTACACCATCCAGTTCGCCCATCATCCAACTATGATTCTGTGATTGGTAGCAGTGATAGCTTCAGGGATCTTAGAGTTATTGCATCACATAATTTATCCTGGTCTTTGCACATAATTATTATTGTTGCTAAAGCCTAGAAAATGCTTGGCCAAATTTTGGCCGATCTCTTGCACTCATACCTACACACCTGTCCGTAAAACACTCTATTGCACTCCCAACTTACATACTGTTTGGAGGCCACATCTTAGAAGGGACATATTGCTTCTAGAGGGGCTACAATGTAAAGCCACTAAGTGGATTTTAAATGATTACTCCTCTGATAATAAGACTAGACTTCACTCTTAACAAATGTTGCCACTGATGATGACTTACAAATTGTGTGACATTGCATTCTTTTTGACATCTTTATCTAGTCCGTCTATGGCATACAATATCTGTAACTTTGTATTCTTCTCATCCTCCTCAACTAGATCTAATGGTATCGAATGGTATCAAACTCACCCATGGATTCTGTCAATCAAATAAAACTTGATACTTTTACTTCTCACGGCTCCCAAGATTGTGGAATGCTCTGCCAACTATGGGCCTACTGTCTATGTCATTGGGTCAGGCTAGAAACACTCCAAGACAATTTTTCTTTAATCACTTTTTAGTAAATTTTTCTTCTCTCTCCTGCTTCTTTCACTCTCTATGCCCTTGTTGTAATTGTAAGTCAGTAATTTATTCATTTGTGTTTCTCTCTCTCAAAATGAACAAATACCCCAATAAACAAACAGCATTCAGCAAGAAAGGGCAGGACAGCATAGCAATGAATGAAACAAATAGCAAATATGAATATAATCACATAGCCCACTCATAGACCCATGTGTAGGTAGTGACTGTAGTGTTAGCTAGCAGTGGTGCCTCCAGCCTCTCGGGCCTGCTGATTGGAGGAGGGAAGTCACTAGGGCAGCCTAATTGTCCATCTCTGGTCTCACCACAACGATAGGATATCTTGAGGGATTTACTGAACAGCAGAGGATCATTCTCAAAGAACTTGTAAGCCGAAATTTGAGCTTTTCCTTGTCTGAGAGTGCACCCTGCGTTATCATGGTGATACAAGCCTCTGTTAAAAGAGTATGCAGAGAGAAAGAAATCTTCAGTACCAGAGGAAAGGAACATTGTAGAGTTGGAGTCATCAATGATTGCCCTCACGCATGCCTCAACATAGTGAAAATCAGTGCTGTTTGCTGAGAGGGTCACTTGAAACAGAGCACCTGCAGTGGCGTTAACATCAGCAAGAGTTATGAAATCCAAGGGCTTCAGCACTATGCCGACATTTTTATAAAGTTTGAGTTTCGTTGTTTTTGGTAGAAGCAGATCCCCAAGGATAAGAGGATAGTTCTCAACTCCACGTATAATATACCAGAAGGTACCACCATTGGGATGAGTTGCAGTAACTTTAAAAGACTTAGCAAAAGGTATCCGGTAGGTATTGTATATACCACCATCAGCAGCATGAGCTATTCTCTTAGTACCCCATGGGATGTTACCCACTTCAATGGATTCTGTGCCTCCAATCCCGTGAGCTAGTAACAGCATAAAATCAATGCTTGCTGCAGTCTCCCCATCAATGTATATCCTTATTCTAGCGTCCTCGTTCATTACACCTCTACCTATAACGACAGTTAGTAGCTAATACTGGTCACTGTATCGTATCTACCTGTAAACCATTGTTCTGTAATGACTCCTGCCTGGCCAGTGCTGTGTTCATACAGTGTTTTCTCAGTGTTGGCAGGTAGATGACCTCCCTTTATTGCAGAAGAGAAGGACTTCATATCAGGAGTAACTGGAATTGCAGAAAAAACTCCTCCAACAAGGAGAAACAGTAGCAAAAGGTGAACTCCATTTTGGGTGGGG